TACGCTTGAAGGGATTATGTTGCCTCAAGCCCAAGAGGAAATGACCTTGAAATGGGTGTTTCAACAAGACAACGACCCCAAACACCCCCAGTTGGTGAGCAGCGTCTTGGTTCCAGGTCAACCAAGTCAAAGTTATGGAGCGGCCAGTCCAACCCCGGGACCTCAGTCCAGTTGAAAACTTGTGGGGTGACGTGAAAAATGTTGTTCCAAACCAAGAAATGCAGAGAAATTGTGGAATGTTGTCAAACCACCGTGGGCTGGAATACCTGTGGACAGGTGCCAGGCGCTGGTTGACTCCGTGCAACACAGACCAGTTCAGTGGTTACACAAGTAAAGGTTAGTTTGGAATAAATCCTGAAGTTTTCAGTTTATACAGTAAATATGAGTTTGTAAGGTAAAATGCAGACGCTGTGAGTTTTTCAATTTTCTTAATTTTCTGTAAAATTAAACATTTTATACGTTTTTCTTCATGGCTTCATTTAGAATATAACGTGTGGTGTGTTCCCAATGCATGGAAATAAAAACTATTTTAAGGATTTTGAGCTTCACTCACATTTATAAACGCTGCTCTTATTTCGAACACGACTGTAAAAGTGTTGTCTGCCGTTAAAAGACGGGCGGAGTGAGCAGACAGGTGCTGCGTATCGTCATCACCGAGTCCAGACCTCAGTCCATGCTCCTCCTGCGTGTCCTTGGCTCCACAGCAGTTTCTGCTGCAATACAGCAGCTCACGCTGCCAGGGTTCAGCTCCCAGGGTTCAGCTCCCAGGGTTCAGCTCCCAGGGTTCAGCTCCCAGGATTCAGCTCCCAGGGTTCAGTTCCCAGGGTTCAGTTCCCAGGGTTCAGCTCCCAGGGTTCAGTTCCCAGGGTTCAGCTCCCAGGGTTCAGTTCCCAGGGTTCAGCTCCCAGGGTTCAGCTCCCAGGGTTCAGTTCCCAGGGTTCAGTTCCCAGGGTTCAGCTCCCAGGGTTCAGCTCCCAGGGTTCAGCTCCCAGGCTTGTCATTGAAAAATAAAAACCACTCGTTCTGCATGCTCTCATTAGATCTGGAAACCACACGATGTGATACAACACACGACCTGTTCTGCTGATTATACAAATCTGAGATTAGAGATGATGAAATGCAAGAACACTCTCCAGGTGGGGGTCTGAGAGGGAATAAAATCCCTCCAGAGAGTCCTGGGTCTGCCCTGGAAAACCGTGTCCAGGAGGCGTTCTAATCAGATGCCTGAGGCTTCTCAGGTGGCTCTTTTCGATGAGGAGGAGCAGCAGCTGTACTCTGAGCTCCTCCAGATGATGGAGCTCCTCACCTCATCTCTCAGGCTGAGCTCAGCCACCTCGCAGGCGAAGCTCATTTCAGCTGCTCCAGGATTTTTCAGTCCTGATCTATCCATCAGGACCATAGGCGATGTTTGGAATCTAGACAAGCCAGTAAGTCCAGAGCTTCAAATCATCTCAGCACCTTCTTCACCACAACAGACCAGAGCAACACCCTGATTACAGCAGATGATACGTTTCTGTTGATCCAGGACATCCAGATACTTGAACGCTGCTGCTTGAGGCAGGTTTTTCATGCCGACTCTCGTCGCAGCTGCTTCACCCAGTAATCACCGAAGTCCACGGTTCACAGATGCCAACAGAACCGTATCGTTTGCAAAAAGCAAAAATGAGACCCTGTCGTTACCAGTCCAGATCTTCTTTTCTTGAGATCCTGTCCATGAATTCCCTCTATCTGTTCCCCCTCCAAAACCGTAAGCCTCGTCCAGGTCCACTAAACACTTGCACTGGATAATTTAATTATCATTAATCAAATAAACCACAAAAGGAAGCGGGACATTTTTAATCCTTGCAGCTTTGAAAACGGACGTACAAGATGTTACACCAAGTCCTGATCACAAGGTCTGCCCGCGGACAACGAGTTGGGAACAGCTTAAATCCCAGTTACCAACAGAGGCGAGGTCAAGACGACCTCTGCTTCAGCTCACAGCTGTTGAAGGCGCCACAAATGATCAATTATCAGTTATCAGGCTCCTCTCTGAATAGACAGACTCTCTTAACCTCCTACCTTAATTTAACATCAGTAAGTGAAAACATCCATGACCTTTACATAACTTCATCAACCTGGACAACCACACTTCCAGCCACAGTGCACGTGTTCGGTTTTTGTTTTAAGACCTGGAGTTTGCTTTTATTCAATAAAATCAATTATTGATAAACCCCTGAGTTCTGCTGGAAGTGCAGTCGCTTTTATGAGCTGTGAAGTTCTAGATGTGGTCAAGGGGCTGAATAAAGTCTTGAAGAGCATTTCCCGTGCATCGTGACGGCACAAACGGATTATTTAGTGCTGCTGTTTTCTAGCTTTGCTGTTTCTGCACCTGACAGATGTGAACTTATTCCAGATGTGAACTTATTCCAGACGTGAACTTATTCCAGACGTGAACTTATTCCAGACGTGAATTTATTCCAGACGTGAACTTATGCCAGACGTGAATTTATTCCAGACGTGAACTTGTGCCAGACGTGAACTTGTGCCAGACGTGAACT